GGATTCCGATTACAAAAGAGAGGAGAATGAATTTGATTCTCCCCTTTGTTTAATTCTGGGTTCTTCACGGTGGCGATGAGATGCCTCCCTCGAATGCTCGCGTCGAGTTTGCTTCTCGTTGACGACCCGAACGTTTAAAAGCCTTCCAAAATGATTCAAGAGCTCCTTCAAGTCGTTGATCTCCAAAGCTCTCTGTTGCTGCCAAATCCCAGATCCAAAATATGTCAGCCTTTTGATCGAATCTCCCTTTGTTAATGAGAAAAAATTCGATCTCCAAGCTAGCCGCAGATCGCTTCTTTGCTGCCCAAAAAAGAAGCCCCGAACTCAGTTGAGTTTCCCACTATTTATAGGGGATTTAGGGTGGTAACTACCCCCTTAATCCGCTCTTAAGTGGGGCGAAAATCCCTCAAATCGTGGGGAAAAACAGTTCCTGGAACTGTTCATTGCGTGCTTGAACGAGTCAAACGCTAAAAACGGCGTTCTGGGCCTTAACTCTGCGTCTAAGGCCTGAGACGCAGAGTTAAACCTTTGTCAAAGGTTTGAAACGCACAGGCCGCATGCGTTCTGGAATTGGAGACGCACAGGTCGCTTGTGCGTTGAAATTCAACTCTGCATCAAGAGTTTGGGACGTATGGTTGAGTTTGTTGAAGAATGCATGTTATGTGTGCGTTTGTGCTTTAACTCTGCGTCACAGAGTTAGATGTCTGCTGGAAAACGCAGAGTTAAGCCTGTTGTAGGCTGAAAACGCACAGTTGTGCTGTTTTAGAGATTAACTCTGCGTTTTAATGTTGAAAACGCAGAGTTGAGCCTGTTAACGGCTGAAAACGCACAGTTCGTGCTGTTTTAGGGATGAACTCTGCGTTTTAGTCTGAAAACGCAGAGTTGGGCCTGTTTAAAGGCTGAAAACGCACAGTTGTGCTATTTTAACGATTAACTCTGCGTTTTGATGTTGAAAACGCAGAGTTGAGCATGTGCGCTTTGACTCTGTAATGCAGAGGCGAACCTTAGGCGGGCTTGGCGGGCTTCAGGCTAAGTCCAATGTTCTGATGAAGTCCAGTCTTGCAGATGGACCTCAGAACATAATTTGCTGCGAAGAACAGGTCATAACTTTCAAACCGTAAGTCGGAATTAGACGAATTATATATGAAAATCGGCTATCTTGACGAGACGGGGCCATCCGAACCAAGCCAAAGGCTTTGGTTCGCTTCCTCCGTTTCGCCAAATTCCTTACGGTTTGAGAGATATCTGTATTCTAATATGAAGAGACCGTCAATTTGTAGTCTCTTTTGCTAGAGCTTTGCACAGATCGTCCTCTTGTAATCTTCGTCTTGGCTCCTTGAAAATATGAGAGTCGTCAGATTGTAACTCCCGATGTTGATTGTGAAGGCTGTTGAATTGGAGCTTTCATCAGTTGTCGTGAAGGTCCTCAAATTATAGCCTTCTGGAAGTCGTCAGATTGTAACTTCCATCATCGGTGTTTGATGGGGGATAAGCTATCTATTGTGATTTTTAGACAGCCTACATAAACTCTTTTCAAATCAAAACAAAATTTGGTCAAATGATCAAAACAACCACAAAAATCACATTTACACACAATAGCATGTCTGTGATGAGCTTTGTGAGCATGTGTATGTGTATGATGTGATGACGCTTGATGGGATGCACAAGTGTCAAAACTATTGGATTTGGTGGATTTTTGTGCATCATAACAAAACTTAGCAAGATGGCTTTTTCGACCGCAAATAGAACACTTATAAATTTTATTATACATATGTGCATAGTGTGTAGGGGTCTTGGAAGAGTTTACACGGGACTTTACACACAAGTCCATAAGCTTATTGTTATTTGCAATGCATGTTTTTAATGTTGAATCTAAAGATGATATGCGATTATTAACATGATTCAAGTTATTTACTTGCACAAAGGCATTGTTGTTAGAAGTAGAACATTCATGATCATTTTTGAAAGAATTAAACTTATTTTTTTTAATATTCTCTACTTCTAATATGACATTATTTTTCTCATGAGATAAACTAGCAATTTCCAATTTTAATTTTTCATTGCATTATTTAAGATTAACACTTTCATTAGCAATGATATCAAACTTAGAGGCTAGTGTCTCGTGATTGGATTTTATATTTACATGCTTGCTTTTCAAATCAATAAAATTAAGATGCAACTTCTTGTAGGCATGCATTAATTTCTCATAAGCACATGTGAGTTCATCAATAGTTAAATCACTTTCAAAATCAAACTCACATACCTCACTAGGGCTATCGCCTAGTGGCCGTGTGCATGATGACGCTGTAATACCACTTGAAGTAGAATCCGCCCAGGTGCGTCGGATCTTCTCCAAGTTCTCTTGATGTACTTCTATAAATTTCCATAATGTGTAAGCACTATCAAAAGAATCAAGCTTGTTAGATATGGATGAGTCAAAAACATTAAATAAAAACTCTAACAAGAGCTTGTTCATAGTAAACATTCTTTTATCATCTTTACTTCACTTGGATATCTCCGAAGTGGGTACAATATAAGCACAATCGATTATTCCCACAAATCGAAATGTCTAGATCTAACAAAAAGTTTAAATCTAACACACCATTATGCATAGGGGAAATTATCAATTCTAAAAGCAATATTAATATCATAACCTAAGCTAGATGCACCAAGCATATCCATGATATATTATGCAAGCAATATGAAATAATCTCAAAACTAGATTAACAAGATATAATGAATTTGGATCTTTGACTCTAGGTGATTAAGCCACGAATCAAGAGAACCAAACTCTGATACCAAATAAAATTTTCGACAATATAAAACTTATTAGTAATCTATCCTAGCAAGTATGATATTCAATAAGATATGAGCAAGGATATGTAATTAAACAAGGGTGAAATAAACATGAACACAAGATGCAAATGAGATAGTGCGCAAATGACAACCGCAAACAAACAATGTGATCACGGAGTTCGGTCACTCTCGACCTACGTCTCCCCTCCCCACTCTCGAGGAGAATCTTCACTATCTCAAAAGATAACTACACAATTGTTTTTAACGCTCACCAATAAACATTTACAACTATCACAATACAATCACACAACACACTCTCTAAGTGTTGGCCTCTCACGTGTTGCCTTCCTCAAGTGCTCGGATTTATACCATTTCTCTAGGCTTTACAACTGACGCCACTCCTCTTGGAATCAATCACGTCTCTCACCAACCACTCCTCTCGATGTACTTGTGTATTACAATGTGATCTCATAATTAAGCACAATAAAAATGGTTTGTTCTCTGTTACAAAGATGAGAACTAAGTGTAAGCTCACTTAATCACACCCACAACTCAAATTATACAATATATGAAAATACTCAAGCTCAATGGTTGTGTGTGAAATAATAAGCAATAAACAAGCTAAACTTAATATAAAATCTAGCTTAATGAATAAGAAAATCAACAACAAATGTAAATATAAGCTAGAAATTAAGTTTAGTAAAACTTCTCTAAAACAAGAGAGGGAGATTGAGATTGAAGCCCAAACACGAAAGAATGATCTCCTCTTTTTGTTGTAAAAACCTCTTCACATAAACACTTGGAAAACACAATTAAACAAACTTAAACCATTGTAAACTTATTTTAAAACTTTTCTTAGATAGTTCATAAGTTAGAGGGTAATGGATATATAAGATATTCACAAAGCAAATCCCAAAAACCAAGAAAATCTAAGGAAAAAGATAAAAATCCAAAAAATCAGCAAACTGGAAAGCTAGGCGTTACAGTATCTCCGGTCGACCGATAGACCACGGTTGGTCGACCGACTAGATGACCGTTGGCAGACTTAAAAAGACTTGAGCTCATTCGGTCGACTGATGAACTTGTTTCGGTCGATCGATGGGTGTCTATTGGTCGACTTAACAAGTTTGTCGGTTGACTGAAAAACCATGAGAACAACTGCTAAAAAAATTATCTTTGGTCGGTCGACCGGAGCCATGTGTTCGGTCGACCGAAAACTGATACTTTCCAAAAACATTGATTTTCAAAAATCTAACTTTCAAAATACAATTAAAAATAACAAATAAGTTTCAAAAATAGTAAAATTCTGGGAACGTTTATAAACATGAAAATGAGCATGTTATAAAAGAAAATTTTGAAATATCATTTCCCGTGTGTGAAAACTCTTTGTTTTGCAAAGACTCACAAATACATGTTTATATAAAACTCTTGATTTTTGACATTTGACTTAAACCAAGTTATGAAGCCTTTTTACATTGATTTATAGACTTAATAAAAGATGTATACATGAATAATTTTGTCCATAAACCAATAACACAATATTTTCATAAAAATAACCAACTTGTGATAAAACAAAGAATGTGTATGTGTAAGAATATCGAGCTTAAAGTATTTACACACAATATATAAAATCCTAAACTAATATACCCAAATAGTTGCATATGAAGCTTGTTCTTGAATCTTTGACTTGATTTGTATTGGCTTCATTTCAGATATCATTGACCCGTGTATATGAGAAACACAAAACACTAGAAACACATAGTTATAAATTGTTTGTTAAATCATCAAAACTAGATTAGAGAGTAGGCTCATAAACATGAGTCCTAATAATTATATGTGAAATAATACAAATAATAAGCTGTGATCAAATTTTAAACGAATATTTAATATACAAACAAATCGAATGTACATCTGGTTAAATTCTATTTGTTAATAAGCTCAAATACTAAAAAAATATTTGTTTAGGGTTAAATGAACTACCGATCGAATACGACCAAATAGTTATTCGAACAATTATCAAACTATTTGTTAATTATTTGGTTCGTTTCCGCCCCTAGTCAAGACTGAAGAGTAACCAATTGGAGTACTTAATATAAATTTCAAGGCCTTGAGGGACCAAAATACAAACCAACGTTAGCAAAACCCTACGACATTAGACATTTAGACCCCAAGAAATTGTTAGTTTTATGCGCGGCTGTCTTTGCTGCGGTCGCCGCCTGTGGTTGCGGACTCCCGTCTTCGTTCCATAATTTAGGACACCTATAAAATCAGCACACTTCTTCTCTTCTATTTTCTCTCTCCTCTCTCTCGCCGACTCAGGGTTTCTAAAGAGCCCTCCACCATTTCTAGGGTTTCTTTCATCGATCGTAAAAAATGGGGAAGCAGAAGGGAGAACGAAGCAAGAATCGACCTTCAAGCAGCAGGTTCCCCCTTTTCCTCTCTCTCAAAATAGCTTCCGTTCATCTAAATATTTTTAACGAATTTTTCTGGATTTAATCCGTATTTCCCCTTAAATTTGCAGTTTGGCGGCCTCGTTGTTGCCTTCAGGAGCCTCGGGCGTCGGATTCGGAGGATACCTTGGAAGTTCTCGGATCGATCCCCCGACTTCTTCAGAAGAATCCACTTCGTTCTCGGTATCAGTCTCAATTTCAGCATTTTTACTGTTAAAAATTTTGTTCAGAGGTTTAATGTTTCTCTAATGATGATGTTGATTTGTTGTGTGAAGGATGTGGATAGTGAAGTAGTACAGCACTTGAAGAGGCTTGGAAGAAAGGATCCCACTACAAAGGTATATCACTGAATTTACTGCAGTTCTGTTAATACTTTAGTAATTACTGAATCCATAAACTTTTAGTTCTTTTGAATTTCTGCTAACAAATACAGCGCATGACTTGATGTGCAGCTCAAAGCTCTAGCTGCACTGTGCTTACTGTTTAAGCAAAAGTCTGGAGAGGAACTTGCGCAAATTGTTCCGCAGTGGGTATGATTCTTCTACCTGATAATGTGTTGGATTCCGTTGTTTGATGCCATCGTTGGTATATCTCGCATTATTGGTACACGTAATATGCTGCTTACCAAGTTGATCGTTTTTTGCGTTGGGGAACCTTTGAATATTCAACTGGATTTATTTTCCACTTCTATAAATGTTTTACCATTTGTGCAACAAACAACAACTATGTAAGGTTATTATCTATAAACTTTTGAGCCTTCGTACTATTCCGATGTCTTTCTGGCTGCCAATTATTTTGGCCATTGTAATTGCTTGTGTGTGTGGACTTTCTTGATACACTAGTGAGTAACAATTATCCTGTCAAGTGTCAATGATGCATGAAGACACACAACATAAATATGAGAAAAAAAAACAAATATATGCTTACATGTTTTATAATATCGTTAAGGTCTCATAACGATGTTCAAGTTCATTTGGAGAGGCTATGTTGAAGCTTAAATTTCAATTACAGTTCCACTTTATTTGTGAAGCTTGATGTTACTATCTTATTGACTAGTGACAACTTATAGGAGATCTTTTTGCTTGGCCTTGCCATGATTCAGCATGTGGCAGAAACTTGTATAAAGCTTTGTGTGACATTCATAGGCGTCTTCATAGGCACATTGATCTACTTATTATCATTTTTATCCTAATCCAATTTATGTTTTTTCTTCATTATGATTTATGAGATACCTCATCATGGGAATTGGTTTTATATGACCACCAGAAGTTCCATTCTTCAATAATTTCTGTGCAAATATCATGCACTGTTTCCCATACTGGGTACCTTGGATCTTCTCTGTGTTAATTTAGCTGCATAATGCAGGTCGTGTTATTTAACTGATGAATGAACGTAATAGGACTAGTAGAAGGAGCGACATACAAGGAGTTGGGCTCTATCATGTTGTCTAGATTTTAAAAGAGCATGCAAATGTTATTAGAATGTTGGAAAGAATTGAATACAGATACTCACAACATAAGTTACATTGTTTTTCTGAGAATATTTTTTTAGTTCATGTTGTGAGAAACATACGTGGCTATTGTTGGGTGGAGGTTGAGCAACAGGACGACCATTTTTCACTTGGAGGGAGATTCTTCACCTGACTGCTAGCACATTCTCCACAGTAAACATGTGTTTGTTCCAGCTATAATTTGGCAAGAAAATAAAGAAACTGGTTATTGCTACCAAATTTATGGATAGTTTCATCTTCAGTTCATCCATATCCTACGTTACATGGACTCGGGTACGAGTATCCGATACGGGTGCGGATCCGAGTGTCCGATACGAAATTTCTGAAAATTTTAGATACGGGGACACCGTCCTAAATTTCGACACGGGTACGGGGATACGACAATAAAAAAAAATATTACAAGCATTCCTCAAAATATTACAAGCATTCCTCAAAATATTACAAGTATATTGTTGAAATGGAAGGTAAATATTACAAGTATACAAAATATTACAATCCTAGTCCAATTTTTTATTTACAAATGCTACCCATATAAATATTACAAGGTAAATATTACAACTTTTATTTACAAATTTTTTATTTACAAATGTTACCCTTACCCATACAAATGCTACCCATACAAAATATTACAAGTATACAATTTTTTTATTTACAAAGGGCTAGGCTTCTAGGGCTCAGGTTGTCACTGTTCTCCCGCGAAGCTCGTCTCCCCTCGAAGCTCGTCGTCGACTCCTCCCTCGAAGCTCGTCGATTCCTCCCTCGAAGCTCATCGACTCCTCCTCGAAGCTCGTCGACTCCTCCCTCGAAGCTCGTCCCTCGAAGCTTGCCGTATCCGAGTGCCAACCACCGTATCCGACCCGTATTTCGTACCCGGATCGGTGTCGGGTCGTATCGACGCCGGTACGACGGCCAAACCACCGTGTCCGAGTAACGTAGTCCATATCTAGTTTTCATTCTAAGAATGAAATGGTTCTTTTTTAATATGCGGTCTGCCTTTCAAGTCAACGATGCACAATTTTTTAAATATTGTGAATTACTGCATATGTTAAAATTACAACAATTTTTTCTTGTTTATAGGCATTTGAATATAGAAGGCTCTTGCTTGATTATAATAGAGAGGTCCGTCGGGCTACTCATGATGCCATGACTAGTCTTGTGACTACTGTCAGGTATACGTTTATCTCGTGCTCATGCTCAGCTTTGCTTTCTGTTTTCTTTTCTTTATGTGTGATAATGTTTCTTTTATATTCATGAGAAAATATTGCCTGGCTCTTTTACATGGATACTTCATTAAAGAGGGGGTATCTGTATCCACTATTTGTGTTATATTCCGAAAATGTCAAAGACATATAAGTGATTCATCCAAGAATAAGTTAAAATCTAATGCATGAATCATAGCTTGTCCATTTCATTGAACATAGGCAAACTTATGTACTTTATTCATTATATTGAATTTGTAACTTCTGGATATCTTTGATATCACTTGATCTGTGTTTTTTTAACTATTATGGCCTTAAACTTCCTTGTACTTATATTACTCATATCTGGATCATTATCCAATACCAGAGTCACCTCAATCTAGAAGGTAGGAGGGACATTGGGATCCTAGATTTTCTAGAGTAGTTGCTAGCTAAGAATAACAGCCCATGCTTTATATCTTAAAGTTGCTTTCAGTTTCTTTCTCTTATGCAGTATGTAACAATTTGGGTGGATACTGCCACAGAATTCCTTCCATTTTCCTGCCCTGTATTTTAAATCTCTTAATCAAATTGCTTCCTAAATGTTAAGCATGTCACATATTTGGGGATGTATGTCAGTATTTGATCAATTTACGACACGGACAAATTGGTGACGGCATGCTTTCTTGAAATCCTAATGCTTATAGTTGCAGCTTTTTCGAAAACTCATCTTACTGATACTTCTGCAGGAAAGGGTTGGTCCCTCATTTGAAGTCTTTGATGGGACCTTGGTGGTTTTCTCAGTTTGACCCGATCTTTGAGGTTTCTCAAGCTGCCAAGAGATCCTTAGAGGTTTGTGTTTTTACTTGCATGTTATAATCAATATTAAGTTTTCTCTCTGTTTCGCTGGTCTTTGTTGTCTACAAGGATGTTTGGTTAATTTTTACCTCTACCTTTCACTTGTTTGATATTCAGTACAATCAAAAAAATTTAAGAGTTTTTTTAATTCAAAGTGCCCTACAATGTGTCAGTTAAGTGTTGATCTCTATTTAAATGACATAGGCATTAATTTTTCTCCATTTATATTCACTTGATTTCTTCGAATAGATATTCAGCACATTTTGTTGCTGACTTGTTGTCATTTTTAAGTAAATATGAAAATTTAGATGTTCAATTTAGTGGGCTCGGTACTTAGCAGTCACTCCAATCCTAAGTTTGGGCCAAATCCTGATGGGAGCATCCAGATATTGTTAAAGTTCAAAATTATCTTTTTGTTTAACTGATTGCATATTTCTAAAAGATTTTAACAGATCAATGCTCACATATGTTGAAATGTTGACAATTTGTGATAAATAATATCATATATTTATACATTTGAGCAAATTTCTTTCACATGACAGTCATTGATATTTGGGTTACATATCACACGTGTTGATCTCTTTTCTTCTCTTTAAATCTGTCCATAGTTTGGTTGGAAAATGTATTTTCTTGATAAGCCTTTATGGACCAAAAATGCAAATTTATTTCTAAAAATGGTCACTTCACATTCTAGTCATAGATTGGGTACTGATGAAATTTTACAATTTGGCCTGTAAATTTGGTACAAAGTAGTTTGGGTACTAAAAGTAGCGTCAAGTTCTGAAAAATCATGAAAGATGCGAGAAGACTGGTTCCGTGATTAATAGTTTGTTTATGTAAAGTTGACTTTGTCATTTAATGGCAGGCAGCCTTTCCTGCATCAGATAGAAGATTGGACGCTTTGATGCTATGTATTAATGATATCTTCTTATACCTAGATGAAAATTTAAAGCTTACCCCACAAGCTATGTCTGATAAAGCTTCGCCCATGGATGAGTTGGAGGATATGCACCAGAGGGTATGCCTTTTGGATTCTCCCTTTGTATTAGTTTCTACTTGTTGCATTGATATTAATCTATGTGATAACCTATGTTAGCTAGGTACTTCAAATCGGAAGTCGTACCCATACCCGACACGTACCTGTACCCATACTGAAAGTTCTTGGACACTTCTTGTATACATGCATATGTTTATTCAGGCGTATACTCAATTATATAATGTATGTTTTATATTAAAACAATCCTCATACACTCCTAGTACATATATTCTACACTTCACATCTATTTCTTCTATATTGATCTTATGTAAATGAAAAAACAATATTGATCTTATGTTAATTATTTATTTTAATACATAAATATACATAGTATACTATGTATATGTGTGTGTATATATATGTAGGAACTTGGTACCAAGCACAAAATTTGTGTTTGGTAGTGAGGTATCTCAATCCTATTCACTTTCCAATCTATGTGAATGTGGTCCCCCATTTGAGTGAGTGAATGAAAATGTGCCACCTTACTACAAAGCACAAAAAGTTGTGCTTGGTACCAAGTTCCTTCGTATTGCTCATATATATACACATATATGCTCATATGAGAAAACGGGAGGTGAGCTGCAACGTAGGAAGTTACCTACACTAATGCCATGTGGCGTGGTTTTATTTGTTATTTAAAATTCAGATTAGGATTTGTGTAGCAATTGACAGCTTGCATAGAGAGAAATAAGGGACTTGATTTTTGAAAAACGATGGGCCTATGCGCAAAAGGTACAAATCCCAATCTGGCTTCCGTTCTTCCTCACCGAATTCAACACCATGAGAACCCATGTCTTCATTCAGCCATCTCTTAATTTCGCCACATAAATTATGAAAGAACATTGCGAAAAATGCATAGTCTTTCCTTTCTCTACAAATTGCATAAATAAACTAAAGCATACATCATACATCTTCAAATCATTTTCTTTTTGTTTATTGTTAATGGCAGTTCTTGAGATGTATAAATATCTATCCAGAGGTTGTTTGGGTTTTTGGGGTCTATAGAGTTTGGAAGCAGATGAAATTGGAGATTAATGAACTGCAGTTCTTTTTTTAATTTACAATGGCGAGCTAAGAATAAGTGATGGATTCATTGATGGGTTTCGAATATTTAGGTGTTTTGGATTCTTTAGTAGATTAATGAGTTTTTTTTAATTTTTGATTTGAGATCGGCATTTGGAGAAGGGTAGAGTTTTTTTTTAGTATTTCACCGGATCAAAAAAGAAATGGAATGAGACAGGGAAGGAGGCCATGTGGGAAAGAAGGATTCTGAACACATTTACATATAAGTCCGTACATATTTTAATTTAACACAAAAAAGCTAAATGTTTCTAACTACTTCTTTAAGATCACGTTTTTATTTTAGCGAATCTAAGGAAGTGCCTCTTGATTCTTGGATTAAACTATTCCAATTGATGATCTGCTCCATTCATTATGATATAAATGTTTCAAAACATCTACAAAATAAAAATCATGATGATTAATACTTCTAACACATTTTTCATTATCTCTTTAGTTATATTTGCGTAAAATCGGTGATGTTACAATCACTTGATGTATGGGTAACTACGGCCGGTATGCCTCACTTTTTGTTTATACAAAATCCAAAACAGTATAAATCAAAATAAATGGAGTGGATCGAGTAAATTGATTGCATATAATGTAATTTTGGAGGCGCTTCCTTAAATTGAATCTAAGGTGTCGCTTTAAGAACACGTTTCCCATATATATATATATATATATATATATATATATATATATATCGCTAAAAAGGTAGGGCTACTCGGCGTTACGAATTGACAAGCGACACTGATATATATTAATGATATACTATCAGTATGATATACTATACTTATATATATATATATATAGGTAGAGAGAGATGAGAGAGGAGAAAGACTCCTATCAAGCTTTAAGTTGATAGTCACCAAACTGTCCCTAGCCACTCATTTATTGAATAAAAAACATTTTATATAATGCAGGCATCCATGGCGCAATAATTCGATGTATGCTAAAAAGTTTGATGTGCTGTCTTAAACTATTGATTGCGTATCACTTAAGTTAGGATAAAGTTTTGCTCTTCCTCTCTCTTCTCTCTCCTCTCTCTATAGCTATATATTATATACTAGCTATATATATATAGTATATATATATATATGTGTGTGGTTCGCGAGCCCGAGACTCTGTGTGCTGCGCGGCCGCCGCGCGCTCTATACTGTATCCCATATATGTATATATTTCTGGTTCGTGCCGCTGCATTCCGCCGCGCTCGAGCGTCGGCGGCAAACCGTGTGTGCGCTGTAGTATGATCATGTGGTGGTGGCCGTCGTGTGGGTGACGGCGCTGTCGCGCTGCGCTTGAAAACGCCAAGAGTTGAGTGTTTAAAGAGGCTGAAAACGCCACCAGTCGTCTGCTATTTTAGAGATGAATCTCCTGCGTCATTGGTTAGGCCTGAAAACGCCAAGAGTTGGCCTGTTCACAAACGGTGGAACACGCCACCTAGGCTCGCTGTGTTTTCTAGAGAAGGAACAACACGTGTAGTGTTTGAATGCTTAATCATCATCAAGGGATATAACCTCTGCCGTTTGCAACCGTGGCGGGTACGGTGTATAACCGC